AAAAAAAAAACTAACATTCAGACCACATGCCAAGCAAAGTAAATCAGAACCTCTGTAATGGATATCAATCATTTTTAAAACTCCCTGTGTAATTCCAGTGTTTGTAACCAAAGTTGAGAATCTCCATTCTAGGTCCACTCAACTAACATCCATGTTAGTAAACTTCTCTAACTCATGACCTGTTAGACTTGTGTTGAGATGGACCTGAAAAGAGGTAATGATGGTCTAAAGCAGTGGTTCTCAATTTCCCTAATGCCACAACCCTTTAATACAGTCCAAGGGGGTAGCAACCCACAGGTTGAGAACCACTGGTCTAAAGAAAGAAAACATGGAAGGATCTAATTCAGTAAATGGATAGTATGCAAATCTTGACCTTTTTCCCATTTGTTTTTATTGCAGTATTTTTTTTCCTTCCAGTATTTGAATCTAGGACTTTCCTCTAGCTGCCATCATTTCCCACAAAAGGACAGATTTTAGTATTTAGATACAAGAGTCTAAAGGCTGAGGAGATAAGCGAAGGTGCCAGTTCTTCTTAGGATATTGGGTCTTTGTGACCTGGGGGGTGGGATTCCAGGTTCAAGCTTTATTACGGGGCTCCTCAAACTTTTTAACAGGGGGCCAGTTCACTGTCCCTCAGACCGTTGGAGAGCCGGACTATAGTTTAAAAGGACAGGCAGCAGCTAAGCAGGACAGGCAGCAGCAGCAAAAACACCCAGCCGGCCAGAAAAATATCCTGGGCAGGCTGCATGTGGCCCATGGGCCATAGTTTGAGGACACCTGTTTTATTACCTGGGATTAAATTTTATTAATGTATATATCTTTGGCCAGAATCCCTGTCCCACCCAATGAGATCTGTGTCAACAATAGTATCCCGGGCAGTGCCTGTGGCTCAAGGAGTAGGGTGCCGGTCCCATATGCTGGAGGTGGTGGGTTCTAACTCAGCCCCAGCCAAAAACTGCAAAAAAAAAAAAAAAACAATAGTATCCCCCAAAATGTTCTAGGCTGTTGGGGAAGAGCAGGGGACAGGAAACTCTCCACCAGTTCACTTTAATGATAATAAGAATCACAATGACCATAAGTAACACCTATATTGCCCCCAGTGTAATATACCAGCCATTGGTCTATATATGTGTGTTAACATATATATATTCATTTAATCCTCACTAACAACTCTATAGATGGGTTAGGTTATCCCTTATTCTTATCCCCATTTCATAAGTGAAAAACTGAGGCAAAGGGCACTCAAGAATTTCCCTAGGTGACATGATTATTAAGAGACAGAATTGGGTACACAACCAGGCAATACGACTCTGGAGGTCATGTCCTTAATCACCAAGATATGCTGTGTCCACACAACAAAAATTTCCTTTAGATGTTTACTATATTCTTAGGTACTCACAGCTCCTACCTCAGTGAAGGGTGTTAGAAGTTGTTTAGAGAGGAGGGTGGGAAAGGAATTCCATTAAAAGTATATATATGTTTTTAAAACAGTCTCCCTTTTCTGCGCTAGAGGTGCAGTGGCATCATCGTTGCTCACAGCAACCTCAAACCCCTGAGCTTATACAATCTTCCTGCCTCAGCCTCCTCAGTTGCTGGGTCTACAGGTGTGCACTGCCATGCCAAGCTAACTTTTATTTTTGTAGGGACAGGTTCTCACTGTTGCCCAGGCTGGTCTGAAACTCCTGCCTTCAAGTGAGCCACCTGCCTTGGGCTCCCAAAGTGCTAGGATTACAGGTGTAAGCCAGTGTACCTGGCCCATGTTTTAAAATCTTAATTGACTAATATGTGCTAGTCATAATGTTAGGTATAGGGGGGTACCAAAAAAGTACAATTTCAAAGACATGTCCCCTACACAGAGAGGAAACAGAGGAGGCAGCACAATATGACAGGAGCCTGCAGGATGCACATGGAGGAAGGTCACTGCCCTGGAAACCTGGGGATCAGGAGGTTACCTGATGTGAGTCATGGGACTAATAAACTAACTCTCTGAGTCAGACCAAAAGTCTTTACTTTGTCTTAGAAACCCAGAGTTGGGCCTGCCAGCTTTGAATCAACTAAATGTCAGAGTACAAAAGAAAAAAAGAAAGAAAATTTCAAAAGCAGCAGCAGCAATCTTTTTTCCTTTTTTTCTCCCTTGGCAATGACTGGCTGTTGCGCTTAGATGCTCTTTTTGTTTTGAGACAGTCTGACTTCGTTGCTCTGGGTACCATGCCATGGTGTCCTGGCTCACAGCAACCTCAAACTCTTGCACTCAAGAGATCCTCTTAAGAGCCTCAGCCTCCTAAGTAGCTGGACTGCAGGCACCCACCACATCACTCGCCTAATTTTTCTATTTTTAGTAGACACAGGGTCTCACTTTTGCTCAGGCTGGTCTTGAACTCCTGAGCTCAAGCAATCCACCCGCCTTGGCCTCCCAAAGTGCTAGGATTACAGGTGTGAGCCACAGCTCCTGGATGTTCTTTCTTGACCCTAATTAGATGCTGAAGAAGCTAATCGAGCCACCGTTAAACTCCCTGGAATTATGGATTTTATAGAATTATGCAGACATTAAAGTGAATCTGTGCCACTTTCAAGTTTGACTCTGTTCAGTAACTCAGTTAACAGGGAAGAAAAGCTACTAGAGGCTGTACCATGAGGGCTATAATTCTATTTCTTTCATAAAACCATAGGCAAATGCATGAAAAGCAGAATTTGGGGCAGTGCAAGGGGATTAACTTTCACCACTCACCTGAGCAGGCTGTCGAGGCAGCCAGGATTGCTGTAGGAAACGGTCAGCTCTAGCATGTGAGTATACAGGGGAAATGCACACGTGTATGTGTGTGTAGATGTATGTACAGATGGGCCCACGGGTGGTGTAGTAGTCCCTTTGTATGCTTAAATTACTGCTGAAGGTTCTTCTGTCTGTTTGCTACACACCCGGACCCTTTCAACTAGATCTTGAGAAAGTAACCACAACCAAAAGGCCTTCTTTCATGTCATGGCATGAAATAGAGTACTTAATATAAGTCCCATTCAAGCATCAGGCACAGTTAACTCTTAACAATTTGTGTATGGATTCCCCACATGGATATTATTATTTGCAACAAATGTTTAAACCTAATTTTAGTTTTTCCCCATCAGCCATTACCTGCTTGAAGGGTCTCCCTTTCCCAAAATAAATGTTAACTCGGCAATGGTAGCTATTTAAATTTATATTAATCTAAGGGAGACCACAAGGATAGCTTCCCTGCCCCTCAACCTCCTGCCAAATGTCAAAGCACAGTCCAAAGCCAAATGTATAGGACTGTTAAATTATCCTTTGCCTTAAATATTTATTGTTTCGCATTGTAAATAATGAATAATTGACATCTGGGATAGCTGAGCGACGATATCAGCCTCAGCCTCCATCTCTGAAGTCTCTAAACTGACTTTCCCGTAAACAATCGCCATTCTCACCCTTCCAAAACTGAGGAAACCAATCTCTTGCCTACTCTTCCCTCAAGGTGGTTCTGTCGCAAAGAGTAAGAACTCTGAACCCTTTAGGGTCCTATCTAATGTATGACATCTTTACCTGAAGTTTTGGGGGTAACACACTTTATGAACCAATCCGAAGCGTTTTCCCCATCCCATTCCATGTTCTTACATCCCCTCCACAACAAAAAGGCACAGAACGACACAATCTAAACCTCTTCTTATCAAGAGTGGAATAGTTTTTATAATCACTATACAAATTCATTTAGGAACAGAGAGATTCCTTTGAATCTCAATAGTTTCCTGGATCTGTAGTCTTTTCTATTTAAAGTTACCATTTCTGAAATGGCTTCATGTTACTCCTCTACACACTGGCCCACAGAAAAGGAGACTCTAGTGACAATGCTCTCGAAAAAAATCAACAAAGATTCCCAGCCCACGTGGGAACGCTGTGGAAGCTAGCACAGTATTTCACACTTTGGTATTTTTTCCTTTTTTTTTTTTAAAAAAAAAAAGTAAAATATTACAGAGACATTTTCAAAATTCACACCTGAGTTAAACATTGTGCTGGAAAATTCCACATTAAGGAGAGAACATGATGCAAAAACAGGAAAGGGCTATATACAGGTATTTTGCCAGCATAATTTTTGTGTATTTGCTCTTATGTTCTTCCTTTTCTGCAGCCAAGAGAAAGGAGAGAGGACTGGACAAGGAGAAACAGAGAGGGAGAGAAAGAGCAAGCAGCCTGAACTCTGGGCAGACAGGGGCAGGCAGGAGCAGACAGAGGAGCACCGGTGGATGGAGCAATGTACTTGGGGAGAGGAGGACACAATATTGGATGGATTTGGATGTTGAAAAGGGAGCAAGGTTAAAAAGAAAATGGAGTGAGGCTTGGCGCCCATAGCACAGTGGTTACAGCGCCGGCCACATGCACCAAGGCTGGTAGGTTCAAACCCAGCCTGGGCCAGCTAAACAACAATGACAACTGTAACAAAAAATAGCCAGGCAGGCTCTGCGCCTGTGGCTCAAGTGGCTAAGGCACCAGCCACATA